AAGTAACACACTTAAGATTGCGTTTATGAAATTGTCATTTTGTTAAAAGATAACAGGCAATATAATTGGACGGTTTTGTAAAATGGCATTAGTGAAATCATTATTGTAAAATTTAGAAATGTATGGCCACGGTACCTAATGATGTGACTAAGGGTGTCAATTTTCTTCATTTTCAAAACTATGCTAGTCCTTACTTAATCAAGTGACACAAGGCTATTTTATTTTCCCCAGAACTGATATGATTCCAATTTTTTCATCGCATGTCTGCTTGACATTGAGCTTGGGACACCTTGTATATTATGTGTTCAATAATTTCGGCTTTGATATATCTTGTCCTTCACGGTGCAACAATGTTAGATGTCCGATAATGTCTATCGTCTTAATACAAAAATCAATACAGGGATTCGTGGAAAACCAAATGATGGGGAAAAAATATAGTGTCGTATATCATCACCAATAATTTGCCTTGGCTAACAAAGTTTTAAATGCGACTTATACGTGTACTTTTTCCCTGTCCATAAATGGCTTTAAGTCCAAAAGGTGAAATGTGTGTGTGTGGGGGGGGATGTAATTAAGTTCTCGTTGGAATATCCTAAATATCCTATTTTCCTCCTTTCGAGAATTATTCCAAATTCTGAAAAAAGTCATTTGGCGAATACTAAAAAGACACTCATTGTCAGCATAAGACAAGCAATAAAAAATAAAATAATTTTCTTTAAACTAATTTTGAAATATAAGTTATAAACATATATACTGTAAAATCTGGCGTATACCACCATATGAAATGCGCGGAAAAATACTCTTTCAAGCTACAATTTTTAATTTTTAGTTTTATTTGGGGTTAGTATAATGCGCTCCTTCCTTTTCTTTATGAAGAAACCTGAAATGTACGTGCGCAATGCTCTTATGTCCTGAAGTAATTTATTCGAGGTAGTATTTCAAGCTTTTGAAATAAATAGTACACCTCTTGAATTTCTATTGTTTAAAATCATAAGGAAAATGTCATTCCTTTTAAATAAACAGCTTTTCAAAATACACATAAAAGTCTAATACAGTTTTATGCTCATCTATTTTTAAAAAATTTTAAGGCTCTCGATTTTATATTCGGCGTATAACACGCAGCCATAAATTTCGAGCTTACTTTTTTGTGTTAAAATTGCGAGTTATGTGCTGAATTTTACGGTAAGTATTTGAAGAAAAAAAACTACAAAACTAATCTGGCTCAGTGAATTTTATACGCACTTTTTATGCCTCTTACATTTAAACTTAGAGAAATTACTTTCAATAACATAAACAAATAATTTTTAATGCAACTATATCAATTTTTATTTTATTCAAAATTAGTAAATATCTTTTCCTTACTCCTTAACCTTATGCTTATTTAAATATTTTATTTTATTTTCAAATGTGGAGAGTTTTGGCATACAAGCCTTTGCAGCCATGGAAAGTCCCCGATTGAGCGAGAGCCATTTTAGTGGCGGCTATCGTTATCATATTTTAGATACTTGAATTAATTTTAATTCAAGCTCTCGTTAGATGCTAAATATTTCTGCTACTTAATTTTGCCTCCAGATCCAAAAGAGATCTTTTACATGCCACAAAAGTCCTCAAAAATCTTTTTAGTGAACCTATTTGAAGAATTTTATAAGATACCTAATGAATTTTTTTAGATATCTGACAATAAAGTGGTTATCATAAAAATGGAAACACCTGGGAATAAAAGTGACATGTTTTCGATGCGGTTCATAAGCATACAAATACTCTGACGGAAAAAAAAATCCCAACATAAAGTAAAAAACACTGTAATGAAATTTGGGCAATGCCGTTGGCTAGTTAACATGTTTAATTGATTAAATTTTCAAGATCACAGACTAATTTAAGCACAAAAAAATGCATTTCAAACGTGAAATGCAGTTACATTAGCAGACGGTGTAACCTTTTAATCCTTTTTATCACTATTACGATATCTACAGACTTAAAATTTATCAAATATGGTTTTTTTTTGTTCAGCTAAGATATGCACAAAGATTTTTTTGTTTAATTTGCAATTCACTTAAAACTAATTCATTAAAAACTTTTTTATCCTTCAATCTGTATTGTTAAATTTTTTGATACCCCCGAGCGAAAAACAGGTATACCAGATAATAGATAAAAGAAATATCTGATGTGTTTTAATGTGTTGAGAAGGGAGAACTCAGCACTATAAATCAATGTACTAATGACAGGCCTCGTACTTTTGATCCATTCTCAAGTGACGAGGAGGAAACCCGAGCTGACACCCTCTCTCCCCCACCACGCCACTGGGAGGTGACATTGTGCTTCGACAGATTTGACGTGCATCGGTTCTTTTACACGGTGGGTATTCAGCGACACTAGGTTTCGAAATCGTGCCTTGGCAATGCTTGCCATGAACACGTGACCATAATCACTTGGCTGCCGCGGCAACATCTAGGTAAAGAATTTTGAACAATGAGAGTGTAGATTCAGTGTCATCCTCGTCAGTTCACCATGGTTCAGAATTAAGAGGTTCGTTGCCCAACAGCTCGTGCGAGGGAGCTTCCGAGTTCGACGCGCAAAAACAAAGCAATCTAACCAATTCTTGAAAATTTACACGTCCAAAATCCAAAAAAAAAAAGATTAAAATGGCCGCTGATTGTTTGACTGATACATGTTTCCTCGTTCAAATACTCAATGTAAATTTTATTAATTTGATGCGACAGATAATTTTGTGTGTGTGCTAAAGATTAAACGAGTATTATAAGGAAATATTTATGTATTACGCCCCATAATGCTCCGGAACGCCCCTTGGAGTCTTTTTTCACAAGACCCATTTTGTACAGATCTTTATTTTCTGTAAAAAAATCTATCAAATTTAAAGACAGTGCGTTTAATAGTTTAAAAATGGAAATAATTATCTATAACGTCCCCTAAGCCCCCGCAACGCCACGTTCGGGTCGATTTTCACTAAATTCAATTACTACTCTACTCTATAAAAGGAATCTGCCTACCCAATGTCAAGATTGTCCGTCAAGTAGTTTAAAAATGAAAATAATTATTTATAACGCCCCTTAACCCACCCGTAACGCCTTTTGCGGTTCAAATTTCGCCACACACACACAAATCCGTTCTTGGCGGACCTCTACTCCATAAAAGGAACAAGCCTGCCATAATTTCAAGTCTGTAGGTTGAATAGTTCCAGAGATATTGTGATGAGTGAGAGAATCGCTTTTCTTTCTCCTTTATATATATAGATGAAGTCCCGTAGTATATAAATGCTTAACTATATACATTTACTCCCTTTGGTGTACTACTATACCCAGGCGAGCACTTATACATACTTACCTACACAAATACATCCCTACCTTATGTTCATTGCGTAACGAAAATTTTTCTCTACCGTGCCTAAAAGAAGTTAACTTCAGAAATTTAATTCAATTCATACTTAGGTCAACAAAGAAATTGTTGTAGTTACTTTTTATTAAATAGTTACAATTAATATAAATATGAATATACATATGACAGAATACCAATATTATGTGGCAAAATAGAAAGCGATTTTCACCTTGCAATTTTCCATTTTCATTTCTATAAATGGTGTTGGACATTTTTGTTTGTTTGTTACTATACACAGTGCGGCAAATAAGTTTTAAGACTGTGTCCATAAAAAGAAATGAAAACAAGAAATTAATTCCTGTTTTCATTTTTTTATTCAAAACAGGACCCTCCGGCTTCAATTCACTTGTTATAGTGATTTATTAAATAATTGAAGGCCTGTTGTAAATCACTTTGTGGAATGGTCTGCAAAGCCTGCGTTGAAACTACTTTTAGATCGAAATGTTCTCAAAATAACACCCTTTTAATTTCATTTCAAGTTTTGGGTATAAGGAGTAGTCACAGGGTGCTAAATCAGGTGAATACGGTGGATGGTTCAACACAAAGTTATTCATTATTTTTTGCCAAATTCGACGAACAACAAGGGAGGTGTGACTGTGTGTGGGTGAATAGTCCCGTGTAATAAACACCAACTACTTTCAGTTCGATATTCTGGATGAATGCGACAAATTTTGGCCATCAAAAGCTTTAAAACAGCTAAGTATTACTGACTTTTAACAGTTTGTCCGTTTGAAACAAATTCTTCGTGGATAATACCCCTAGAATCAAAGAATGTGATAAGCATTGTTTTTTTATTTCCGATAGAATTTTCCTTGTTTTTGGCTTGCTTTCCGCACTTTGTTTCAGGGTCATATTGGAATCACTAGGTTTCATTATCTGTAACAATGGACTTAAGAGAAGTTTGAATCGTTTTCAGAGGCTGAAGTGATGTCTCTGCAATGTGCACTTCTCGTTGCTTTTCGTTTAGGTGGTAAAGTGCGTGGAACAAAGTAAGCACACACTTTTATTTTGCTTAAATTTTCATGCAGGATGGTTCGAATTGTTTCTTCGTTGATGTTTAAAGAGTCTGCCATCTTTCTTAATGATGCACAGCGATTGTTTGACAATTAAATTTCGTACTTTCTCAATAATTTCAGGTGTTCTAGATGAAATTGGTCTTCCACTACGCTAATCATTTTCTACTGTATCTCTCCCATCCGAAAAAATGTTTGTGTCCCACAAAACGCTTGATATACTTAAACAACAGTCATCGCAAACTTGTTTCACGAGCAGGTATGTTTTCGAAGCACTTTTACCAAGTTTTACTTGGAATTTGATTACACCTCTTTGTTCCATCTTAAAAAATCAACGTTAAAAAATTCACTTCTGTAATAAGCGCTTGTCCCATCTTAACCACTTAACTAACTGCGCACGACTTATTGACACTAGGACCAGCAGACCATGGACATTATGACGCATGCGCATTTGTACTCATGGTGCCATTACAGCCTGCGCTCCGGGACGTGTCTTATAACTTATTAGCCATATTGTGTATATTCATTAATTAAATTGAATTATTCCAATAAAATAGAATAACAAAAAAGAAATCATATTCGCAGAAATCAGGCCAGCCCAGGTGGTATTGGAACCCACAACCTTTGGATTGGAGGTCCAATGCGCTATCTTTTACGCTACAGGGACACGACGAATGATATGCTCTTGGACTATTATTTTTGTGATTGTTGCTATTTATTCTTTTTTTAAATTTAATTAATGAATTAATATTTTGAAAAAACTGTATTATCATCAAGTGTCATCCACTACAAGTTTAAAAAAGTATATTTGAACTTGAATTGTGATGAATAAAAAGTATTTTATTAACGATTGAAAATTTGAAGATATACACAAACACATATATAATAAATAAAGGGAGAGAGTGAACTAATATTGAAAAACTATTATCAGCCAATGTATTACTTACTATTTAAAAATGTTACTTTTATTTTCCCCTAAGTGATAATGATTGATGGTACTTAACTGCAAAATATTAAGAGATCACTTGAAATCCGTAACCATGGCAACTGTTACTTCGGGAATGTCGAGCAAAACATTTCAAAAAGAGGAACAATGTCTCTTCAAAATCACTTTTATCATCACTACGTCTTTGTTTTACTTTCATCTTCCCTAACTTTTATAATGAGAAGAGAAAAATTTGAATATCTAAAGCAAGATTCTTAAAAAAAATATCTTAGAAACTTTTTCAGTATAATCTACTTTTCTCTGCTCCTATATAGTTAAAGTATTTCGGAACTATCTTTTTTGAAATAAAGTTGATAATGCACAAAACTATTTCTCTTGACTTTTTAAGAGCCTTTACTAGAGATAGAGAACTCACCAAGAGGCTTTTACATAAAATGAAGTTTCTGAAATTGTGCGGTAAATACTCAGGAGTTTCTTTTTATTCATAAATTTTGATGCACGATTTCAATTAAATCCCTTGAAATAGAAAAAAGGCCTTATCACACGCGCATGTCTTGGAATAACTCGAGTCTCGTTAGAACAGCCGTTTTGAGCTGCTGAAAGGGTGAATGGATGTCGTGAGCAAAGCGATACTCTCTGACGTCAGCCACGTCGTACCTTTAACAAGGAAAAATTACTGGCCCGTTTATTCTGCTTACGAAAACGAACATCCACTAGTTGACTGTACAGAAGTGCAGCTTCTTTTTTATCGATTTTTGATGCGTCAACGAAACGAGCCTGCTCTCTTTACGTCTCTCGTTAGACGTGGAGTCGGTGGACAGAAGCTAAAGTGCAGACAATCTCTGAATTGTGACTAAGAATTATACGCGCATTTTAGATGAATGGCAGATATTCAACGAAGCCCGAGGCACTTTGCTAAATCTTATAACGCTGTGCATCAAATATCAGATTATTAAGCAACGTATGGAGAGCCGTAAGATACTTCCACATTTTGCTAGATAATTTTAGATTAGCAATTCATTGTTCCCAGCTCATCCGTAAAAAAAGTTGTTCGATTCCCGTTGGACTAATGGACAACTGGGCTAAAATCGACTCCAAACGGTGGCTTTAAAGAAGACTTGCTACAAATACGTATGTGTGATAATGTCTTACAAAATATATATCCCTAGCTTCCCGCTAGATTATATAATTTTATATCTCAAATAAAATATTCACATTGTGTTTCTTATTTCATAAGAGGAATTGAAAATGTTAGGAAATTAATACGCAAAGAGCTTTAAGCGAATTTGTTTTTAGACAGCGGATTTGAATAAACTATTATTGTTACCATCGTCAGAGCGAAATTATCTTAAGGAGCTATCCTACCTTCGAAGTTCCTTTAAAAAATATTCTCATTTATTACTTTAGATATGCATTACGACACCCATCCAGTATAGTAGTTAATGACGCTGAATGCCGTGCCGTGGGGCCTGGGTTCGAATTCCGGAGAACGCATGGATGTTTGTAAATGTATACATTTACATCTGTGCCTTCGCGGCGAGAGGGGCATCCTAAATATTTATTCAACCAAAAGTCCGCTCGTGAGGTGGGTGGAAGGAGAAGATAGGGAAAGCCCCTGACTACTACCAAGGTGTTCTCTCGCCAAATTGGTTTGGAACCGAGCCAAATCGTACTGTCACCCATATAGTGCTCAAACCTACGGCTAACGACAGGCGTATAACTTGCTCTTTGCCACTATGAATGTATTAGACGTCAATGGGATTTTATTATCGATCAGAAGGAATAAGTAACATAAAAAATATGCATTATGGGTTTGAATTCATTAATTATTTTGCAATTAAAAAAACTAGATGTTGAACCTCACAATTCTGAAAGTGACGAGTCCCACTCTTTAAACTTCCACATCGGGCAAACTTAAGGACTTCGAGTGAGTGAGTGAATACTAACGTCGCACTGTTAAGCTACACGAGGGCTTTTGGCGACGGACCTTGTTATTTTAAAACAGGGTTAAGTGACGATGACAACACCTGAGCTGACATTACTGTCCTAGCTTCCACACCAACAGTAGGACGTTTGGGTTTCCTCAGATTTTACGTACATCGGCTTTCCCTACATTGAAGGTCTTCACTGGTACTAGGCTTGAGTACCACTGAACGACCTGGTACGAGTAGTTCGTTAGAAGTAGAACGACCTAGTAGTACCTTGATCACTAGGCTACAGCGGCCTGCACACTGGAACTCGAACCTATGATTAAAAAAACGCTGGACCACGAATATGCGACATTCCTTCTTCGTAGAAATCTTTCAAAACTATCTTGAAAAATGATTTTAAACATACATTATGGGGGGTGAATACATCTAAATTCTTTGTTATATGTAAATTTCACGCCAATTAAAAAAAATTGTTGAAAAAATTTTACACATAAATACAACAAAAAAAGGTTGTACGTATACATTATAATTCAACTTCAAATTAGTATGTAAATACTCTACAATTTTTATCGTAAAGATAGAAATCACTTCAAAGGATTCTCTACCGTAAAACTATCATTACATTCAAAACATTGGAACAGGAATAGAAAAACGTGTTTTCAAAATTTATGACAACGCGCATATTTAATAATCAATACAAATTACAAATTTTTTCTTTGGTAATTTACGAAATAAAGAGAGGGTGAACCCCTGAATTTTGATCATTTGAGAATTGTGTGGTACGAAATTTTACAATCATTTTTTTCATAACACTTTGATTTACGGAGCTTTGCGAAAGAGTAAATTATATTGAATATTTAACTTTCAATTAAAAAAAAAAATGAAATACAAATTTACATATAGCGATAACATTTTGAATACCTAAATCTTAAGTTTGATGATAAATAGAAACAAGTTTTAAAAAGATTTAAGAAGCTAAGAAGTCATTTTAATATTTAATGTTCAATTTTAAAAAAATGATATTTCGACCCCCAGCCGTCTGGGTGGTGTAGTTGGTTTTTCGCTGGACTTATACACCTAAGTTTGCGGGTTCGAGCTGACCTCAAGTTGGTGGATTATCATGATGCAAAAAAATCGGCAGCGTCAATGTCCTATGATTATGCGGCATGTAAAAGATTCCTTGAGTGAATGTTTGACTTGGGTGGTTTCGGTAAAATTAAACACCTAGTATGCGTTCGCATCGTCAGAGCTCAAGTGCCTCCCTCTGGGGTGGAAATTGGGCTTCAAACTTACTAGCGGCGATTGGTATTTCACCTACATGGTGTCGCTTTAAAAGATATTCCAGATCCCGAGTAATGTACCAGGTATGCAATCTGCAGCTCATTAGAAATAAAAACAATATTTCGACCAAAAATCGCATTTTCAAGTTGCTGTAGCAGCTTAAATCAACTAAATGCAGAGCAGTTGTCAAAGACGTTCAAGCTAAATAGCAGGTTCAAGTCTTGGTTCTTGAATAATGAAAATCGAATTCCAATTCAGTTCAATGTACAAGAAATTCCTGATGTGGCGTTATTGGAAGTTAGGGGTTTGATTTAGAAGTTCAGATGCATCTTCCTCGTCTATTAATTACGATTCAAAACTATGAAGTCCGCGCGTTGCAAAGAGTCTCTCTCTATTTCTCTTTTCAAACCCAACCAGCTCTGATTGATTGATTGTTTAGTGAAATAACGTTATGAAGGAACACAACAGGCTTCATTTTTGAACAGACCAAGACGATACCCGAAAAGGTACCCCGTTCTCCAAATTTGCCCACCACGCAAACTGAAGGATTTAGAAGCTTCACATGTTTAACGAATATCAATCCTCTGCATAACAGATTGCAATAAGAGATAACTGAAACAAAGTCGAAAAGCTCAGAGAAAATGAATATTCATTTAGAAGCAATTAAAGCTACAATACATTAAGGCTGCCCCATAAATACCACCCAAACTTTGCACTGCTAGATTCCTCAATTGAAGTACATAAAAAATGCCCATAGAACTGTACCTGTGCGATTCATAGTTTACGACAAAAATACGAAACACCGTAGGAAAATACACCACAATGGACACATTAGCAGCAGTATTTGTAAATAACATAAATGTCCACAATGCATATCGAGGACGGCTTGAGCACGCCATGGAATGGAGGAGAGCACACGTTGCAGCAGCGCGGTATCACCTAAAGTACGAGCAACATGCAGACGAGTAACTCCATTTGTGTGGTACCTATGTCTCGATACATCAATTCCTTGAGAGTTCCCCCCCCCAAGGAAATGGAACCAGCAGTGAGAGATTTGGAGATCATGTTGGCCATAGAACCGTACCCACAGTTCCTATTCAGCGTCCGGAGTAGGCTATATCCAGCCAATCACATACAGGAGCTCAGAAATTAGGCGGAGTCTCATCATGCCTTATCATTCGTTCAATAATCTTTACCATATTTTTCTCGTTAACTATGGATTGCGCAGATACAGATCTTCGGGCATTTTTGATGTACTTCCGTTGAGGAATATGGCTGTGTAGAGTTTGGGTGTTATTTATGGGACACCTCGTATATGTCTGAAAACTTTAGCTGTTCAAATATGGTTGAAAAAGTTTTGTTTTTTAAATATTTTCAGATTGCACATTGTAAATTAATTGAACTCAGATGTGTACACAAGGGGGGAAGGGGGGAGGAGATCTCCGAGTCCAGACTCCCCCCCCCCCATAGACCTCGATTTTTTTCGTTTGGCTATAATCCTATGCATAT